GCTAGGGTCCAGAAATCTTCAGTTATGACAAAACTTCACAGTGTCTAAATAACTCACATGCCCTTAAGTTCCTGTTTTCCTTTGGAGATAGTAGTAATTGTGGGATTCTATATAGGATTGAACTAACACTGTTTTTTGTTAGAGATCTGCTTGTAATAGAGAACACATTAATCACCAGAAATCAACTGGGTAGTTATATCTAAATTCCCTCAATACACCAGTGTCCCTCAAGAGGCACAAAGTAACATCGATAGGTAATTAAATAATTTCACCAGATAATTACTGAAAGAGAGGCGTAGTGATTATGGACCTGTGGGTTGCTCTTGGAAATTCCCAGGACTGAGATATGTTGCAGCAGGAGGAGAAATTTTTAACCTGTTCCGTATTAGATATACCCCAAGCTCCATTTCTAATCAGAAAGGTACTTCTTTTCACAATAAAATAGGCTGAAGTTTATTTTCAAAATGTTGTGCTACAAAGAGCTTTTTCTTGAATATGTGGGCACAGAATTAATACACGAAAACACATATTGAGCTATGCGATTGGTTTTGGTAATTTAAAGGGGGCCAGTTATTACATATGCACAAAATACTCCTATTAGTCCCTGATTAATGAAATGAAAACATGTTGTAACTAATTACATTGTTAAGTAAATACATTTTTAAAAGCAGCTCTTAATGCCTTTAGGGGCAGATATGAGATAAATCTCAATTTAGACAGACTCATTTATTTAACAACAGCTTGGATAGACTCACTTCTGGCATAAAAACCAGTCTATTTCTGAGTCTTAGAATAACAAATCTCTTCATATCTGACTGGGTGGCATAGTTCTTTTGAACTAGATTTTAATCAGTTGTACCTAAGCAAGGCTCTGGGCAAAACCTTTCTAGTCTGCTGTGAAAGAGAGTATATAATAGTGCTTCAGAGGATTTTGGCATAGTTTTAGTGTAAGGTATGCCAGACAAAATTCAGAAACATGCAAAAGTGGGTCATGCTTATTTTGTTTCAAGTTTTCTTTAAAGCTTTCTGTGAAATGTTTCCGCCTTGATTTTGAGGTGAAATCAAACTGTTTCACTTCAATAGGTTATAGCCACAAGAAACATTTTTGATTATTTTTGAAACTCATGCTTCACCATAAATCACAGTGCAGAGTTTTCCTGCCAAAGTGCTGCATCAGGCCATGAGAGCTCTGACCTCAGTTTTACTGCTCCAACTTTGTTTGCACAGGAAAACTCTGTGGAGCAGGCTCAGTTACTGGAATTAAAATCCCTGAAGCACAGAAATTTGATGTCAGAGCCCCTGCCTTGCTGTGGCCTGTGTGGTTGCTCCTGTCACGAACGTGGACACTTCTCAGAGCTTGGGTGTATGCTTGTGTTGTCTTTGGGATGGTACATACACTTCAGGCTAATTGAAGACCTAAGTGATATTTAAATACGTTCAGAAGTAGCATTCAGCTGTAGGGTTTCTCCACCTGCAGGTGAAAATTTGAAAACCGTGAATTGACAGGTTTTTGCTTCCCTTCATGTTTCAATGAGGAGGGTTGTAACTGAGCAGGCAGGCTGAGTGTAGAAGTGTGAACAGCAAAGGTGAATTGTATACTCGTTTTCTTACGCTGATTGTTACCAAGCAGCATTTTAGTTTGTGTGAGCTTTTCCAAGCTGAAGAGCCTGCATTAGTGCACTGTGAGCTGTTGGGAGTCAGGAGTAGCCTCCCTTCTGGCTGAGCTCCAGCAGAGCAGGGGGAAACTTCCTTGCATGCTCTCCTTTTGTTGGATCGTGTTTCAAGATGTTGGGCTTTGTGCTGACGGGTTTGGAAAAGACTTTAGTTAAACCCCAATGCTTTAGTAAAATTAAGAAGTTTATCAGTGATTATGGAAGAAGAACTGATGTGGTAATGACCTTGCTTATGCTCCTCCACCACAGAGGATTTTCCTTTGGGATGGGGAAGGGGGGTTAGGCAGGCGGAAGCAGCTGCAGGGAGGGCCGTGTATGCTGAGGATTGTTTTTTTTCTCCTAAGGAAACAATGCTGTTGCAGCAGGGAAGTGCATATGTAAGTCTGTCTGTCTTTCTGCACCAGAGACGGGAATGAGTTAGGACCTGTCATTTGTTGCTTGTGCGAGATGAGCAAAGCCTAGATTTCCATTAAGAGGCTTCCTGTGGCTCTTGAAGAGGCACCAAGGCAGAGTGGGCATGGGCTCCCTTGGAGCTGAGAGCTAATGAGATGCTTGAAATCATCCTTTACATCAGCAGTGAACAGATTTCATGCACTCCTTCTGTCAGTTACCACTTAATTCTGCTTTATATGGGTTTAGATACTTGAGTTTAGGCATCACAAACCTATTCCAATGATGAACAGGGAGTTAGAAGGAAAAGTGGTTATAACCCTAGCAGTGTGCTAGTAGAGCAGCTGTAGTACGATGCTTCTTCCTCTTACCCCTAGATACCACAGAGTTGGATACTTGCTCTCATTTAGGACACAGGGGCAGGATCCCTTAAATTCAGAAGTCCAAGTTGAGTGGTAGATAAATATTTCCCTGGAAAAGAGCAAGTAATTGGCAGGCTTTCCAAGCCTGTGGAGTTGTGCTGACCGGTGTAGTGTGTTCCTCTGGTTGGTACCCTCACCTTCAGTTCTGGAATCAAGCAGAAGTTGTAGTCAAAGGTGAAGTGAATTTCAAATTTGTGTTATGTGCTGCATTTAGTCTGCACTGATGCTAATACTAAAATCCCTCTGGAGGAAAAAAATTTCAATATTAATAGTGTTGTAATAAATTCTTCCAGCGTTTCCAAGGCCAGAGTGGGCACTGTTAAATGAAGGTTGTCAGATGCACAAAATGCTGTATGTAACTCCATTATTCTATAATGAATATTACTGCTTGTAGAGGCATATCTGTGTCACTATACAGACATTTGTTCTCACTTCGGTTTACCAAGCTTATGCGGAAAACTTATGCTATCTGTTGCAGTGTAGATACAACCTGACAGGACAGTATTTTCTTTGCCCTAGGTGTTGTTATTTAGCCAGTCATTTTTATAGCCTGTTTTGTCTGTTTACTGGAGTTTCTCTATGAGCATGTGTATGTACAGGAAGGAATTTATTATGATTGAGAACTAGGGCTGGGAGCCAGGAAGTCTCTTTCTGACTGTGCCACAGATTTTCTATTCCTGTCCTGACAGTTTTCTATGACTCTGTGCTCTGCTTCCCTCCATGTAGGAGCTCGTTCACGTCCACACTGAGATGTGAGTTCATCTTAATTGCTAAATATAGTTTGAAGTCCTTGGATGGAGAACCCTTTTAATAAATGTGATCTTGAACTAATTACTGCTGCTAGTGAATGTGATAAAAATGTAAAAAGGTTAAACTTTTCTGGTTTTAGATTAGATATCAGCCAAGGAAAAGAATCAATTAAGAGGCTTTGCTTGATTCAACTCCATAATTCTCTGGAGAAGTAGGTACAGAGGAAGCAGGGCTTGGGCACTTTGACCTTCTCAGGTGCCTTTCAGGAGTTGGCCTTTCAGACACCCCTTAGTTGCTGTAAGGCTGCTTCTGGGAAGTGTCTCACTCTCTTCCTAATGTGCAATGACGGTGTCCACCTACAGAGATAGTGTGAACCTATTAGTCCACTGAAAATTCCCTTTCCCCCTTTAAAGTTTTCCAGTGTTTCAGGCAGATCTTTAAATGAGCATTTTAAGCATTTTTATATTAAAAAGAGGGGAAGAAAAGCTGAAGTATTTGGGCTGTAGTCTTTTGGGTTGTGTAGTTGCTTAAAAAGGGAAAAGGAAGCTCAGAATAAAACTAGAGTTCTTCATTCTTGCACATTTGAAATGCTTCTCTTTTCTCTTTACAATGGTTTCGATTTCCGGTATAGGAGACACAACAGCTCCTCTCCTGCCTGTAGAAAGAGGAAACAATCTCTCCTTTTGTATGAGTTCAGGCTGCTAGAGTCTTCCCCTCCTCCTCCCCTCACTCTTGGGTTCATGGAGGAGAGAGCAGGGCTTTTAAAATCCAAACATATGTACAGCAAAGGTATTTTGAACTTGAGAACTATAGTTTGCTTTGGTTCTTTGTTCTTAAAAGTATGTCAGTGAGTATGACAACCATACTTTAAGAAATGCCACTTCTAGTCAAACTCTGGTTCTG